TGGGTCGCCTGAATTGGAACAAAACACCTCATGTTTGCTTTTGAAACGGTTTGCTACTCGCAAGTAGGCTAAAATGCGAATTTGCCACCCTCAGGTGGGCTTAGACGCGGCCGCCTAGGCACGAGTGACTTGTGGGAGAAGACGGGGCTCGAATCGGGTTCCCGGTTTGGGAGTTAGAGCCGGATTTCACTTTAGGCAAACTAGTTCCTTAAGAAACTTGAATTCGAGGCGTTAATGCTCCAAAATCACCAAACGGCGTCGGTTTAGCACGAAACTTGGCACACGCGGCCGCCTAGGCACGAGTGACTTGTGGGAGAAGACGGGGCTCGAATCGGGTTCCCGGTTTGGGAGTTAGAGCCGGATTTCGGTCTAGTCAAAATTATTTACTAAACTATCTTTCTAATTATATAGTAGTCAATTTTTTTTTATATTTTTCTGTAATTAAAATATTAACACCATTATATGGTTATTAATTATTTTTATCTTGTTTTTTTCAGATATTTCCTGAGTAGCAGCTTGCTTCTTGTGGAATGTGGGCGTACAAAGATTATTACCAACTTTTTTTTTTGTAACCCGTCGCAAACTTGTGAATAACATCAAGACGAAAACTTTTGGTTTTGATTTTGATTTATGTTATTTAAATTTGTGAATAACATTATGTATGTAGTATGCGACATTATGTAGTGGCATAATTTTTGTTTTTATGCATTTTTATTTCTGTATTGTTATGAATGGAACAACATTATGAATTTTTATTATTTGTCAACTTTTATTTATGTATGTATTTATATTATAAATTTAATTTTTGGATTTTTTTATAGTTATTTTTCATTTAATACAGGTTATTTTTATTTTTTTAATAATTTTCCAACAGGGTTTTAAATTTTTTGAGACGGCATAATAAGCCGTCGCAAAAACATTTTTGGAGGCTTTTGCGACGGCAGACATCCTGTCGCAAAAGCTAGTAATTTAATTTAAACTAAAACCTTTAGCGACGGCTCAGCCTACCGTCGGCAATAGTATAGGCTACCACACTTTTAGCGACGGCCTTCTTGCCGTCTCAAAAACCTTTTTTAGCGACGGAAATACTTAGCCGTCGCAAAAAGTCAGATTTTCTTGCGTTATTGGCGACAGAAAATTACCGTCGCAAAAAAGACATCCTCCCGTCGCAAAAAACAATGGCGACGGCACCTACCGTCGCTAAATCCCTTTTGCAACCCCCCCTGTCGCGACCCCCCTTTGCCGTCGCTAAAAGCCAACTTACCGTCGCAAAAGGTATTGGCGACGGCTAACGGACCATTTGCGACGGCGTTTTGCCGTCGCAAAAAACACGTTTTCCTGTAGTGTTTACAATAGGATCTATTGTAATATTAGAAGCCACAAGTCTATCAATGGATTTAAATTCATCTATTCTATTATATAAAGGGCCCGTTTGATAGAGCTGTGGGAAAGTAATTATAGATTATAGCTTAACAGATTATAGCTCCGTTTGGTAAAACTTATTTGTAGCTTAAAGCCACTTATAGCTTAAAATAAGTTATTTTACAGTGTTTGGTAAAAATTATTTCACGAACTTATAGTTTAAATAAAGCTAATTTTCAACTTATTTTCCAAGTGGGTCTGGAGGTGCTTAAGGGGATAGCTTAAGCGCGCAACTGTTATACAGGGTGCTAAAATGACTTAAATGCCCCTCCTAATCTCCATTATTTACGAAAATGCCCCTATATATACACCACATCTCAACACTGTTCACGAACCAGAGAGAGACGCATGCGATTTCCGGCAACGTGTCCCTCGCTCCGGCGATGAAACAGAGATCTCTCTCTACTCTCTCTCTCTCTCCCCCTCGCTCTCTCTCCCTCTGTGTCTCTCTCTTTCTCTGCGCTACATCTATGGCGCCGATCGATCTCGGGTTCATCGCCATCACGATCGCGAAGCTCTGTCCGTCTGAACCAACGTCGTTGTCGATCGATCTGAACCAAGCTCCGTTGTCGATCTGAACCAACGCCGTCGTTGATGTCGTCGTTGATCGATCTGAACCAAGCTCCGTCGTCGACCTGAACCAACGCTGTTGCGATCTGAACCAACGCCGTCGAGATCTGAACCGTCGCCGGCCGTCGCCCCTGTGCTTTTGAAACCCTAGAAAATAAATTGAAAATAAAGAAAAATATCAATATTAATATTAATTAAAAAAGAAAAAATTACTTTTCAGAATTAATATTTAACACAATTTATTTCAATTAATATTTACTTTTCATAATTAATATTTACTAAAAATGAAATATTACTAAAAATAATTAAAATGAATAATAATAAAGAATAATAATATTATGAAAAATAATAATAATAATAATTGATGGACAAAATGATACTAATTTTAATATTTAACACAATTTATTTCAATTAATATTTACTTTTCATATTAATAAAAAAAAGAAATACAGAGAAAGAAGATACGAAAAAAATTAATAATTTTGATAATGAATATATGAAAGATAATATGAAATGAAATCACAACATTAATATAAATTAGAACATGAATATTAATTTTAATGAATTAATAAATTAAAAAAAAAATTAACAAAGAAGAAAGAGAAGAAAAAAAAATTAAAAAAAAAAGAAAAGAAAATAAGGTGAAAAAGAAAAGAAAAGAAAATAAAATGAAAAAGAAAAAGAAAAAAATGTATTTTAAATGAAATCACAAATTTTATATCTTATAAGGGCAAAAATGACAGTTATACAGAAAAAAACTATTTTACAGCTTATTTACCAAACACTACTCTGCTGCTTAAATCTATAATCCCACAGCTGCACCAAACAGGTTATCAGCTTATGTTCACGGCTGTAAGTTATAAGTACACAACTCATAACAATTTTGAAACTTTGTCATATTTTTCTTTTCTTCCAAGAATACCCATATTGTTAATTGCTCCAATAAATAAATGCTAAAAGTTTTCAAACTCAACCCATCTGTCCTATTCATCAAAACGCTAGAAAATGTATGCGTTTTCATCCACTACTAGTTGACAAAAGGCCTCCATTCATTGCCTCTCATTGGTAATTTTGTTTGTTCAATGTCAGAAACCATGTTGGACAACATTGCCATTGTTGAAAATGGCATCAACCTTAGTAACATTAAAATTGATTGATATCTAAAGCTTCCAAATTGTTTTCAGGGTTAACAGAGTGAACAGAGCTGCAGGAATTCTTGACAACTTCGAAGAGGTAGAGAGATATGCAGAGCATAGGTTGAGGAAGTTTGTGCAAGGAAGAAGCTTTGAGATCACCCCTTCACTCAACAAATTCTTCACTGATCCAAAGTGAAGCACAAATGAGAGTTGTTCCCCCCACCTTTGCCAAGAGTTTGTTTTCAAGTACCTTTTAGCTTTGAAATGTGAGATTGTATTGCATATTTTATGGTGTCTTGGAAGTTGCCAAGTTGTAGATCCATGACATCAATCAAATATATAACTCAATGAAGTTTTATATTTGCAAATTTCTTTTCATCACTTTTGTGTCCATGCTTGAAAAGATGGTATGTCAATTAGCAGTAACAAGTGACGACAACTCTTCTATAATTCTTTTAAATCGAAAGATTATAAGAGGAGCAAAATAGATCAATCTAAGGTTTATAGTCTTATTTATAATAAAGACAATTCTCAGTTACTAAAAATGACCAATTACTAAAGACAATTCCCAGTCAATCAAGTCAAACATTAAAGTCACAAATTTACAAAAATGACAAATTTTAGTTGAACTCGAATTTGGATACTAAAGACCAAAGGAACACATGCTAAAAAAAAAGTTAGATCAATCAATTAAAATATATGGGATGAAATTGATTTGTATTACACAGGATATGATGTGGCAGGGATACCATTTTGGATGAAATTGATTTCAGATTCCAGCTGGCAAACATGATAACATAGTTGCATTAATACCTTGGGATTCTATGTGTCTCAAATTTACAAGTACTGTGTACAATGATTCCAAGTTTTGTTTGAAACCACCCACTGAAACAAAAATGATTTACTGTTGAATTGATTAAAGTTCTGAGCTTGGCGCTTTTGAGCATCTTTTAATTGAAACTGTGGATGGGGTCTACTGGCCTACAATGGCATCTTGGCATATCCTGCTGATGCATTAGTACCGAACTTACTTGCATAGTGTATGAAAAGGAGATTTTTTTTGTTTTTTTGAATCGCCCGCCACATTCCCTGTTAGTAAGTTGTTGAGTTTTGTTTCCCAGTGTTTCTTATTCAGCGACCCACCACTTTGGTAACGTTCTATTTCTGATTGCTACAGGGAAGCATCCTATCTTGTCTCCTGAGTACAAGCAAACTGAGGAGGTTTAGTCCTTGGTTTGGCAGAGAGTTAGGTTTCATTTCCTCTCCCTTTTGTGATTGTCTTCTTCCTCTTCTAGTTCGAATTATGTTTGTCGTTTAATGAAGTGTATTGTTCTATACTAGCTAAATTATCTATATGTGAAGGCACTTCCTTATTTGAGAAATAACACTAACCATTAGATTTATTCAATCTTAACTCTCAACTACGCCACGTAAGACCTTTTATTTATTTTATTTATTTTCATTTTCTAAGCTTTAGACTTATTCATATGAACTGTCAACTATGCCACATAAGACAATTTTTCGAAAATTGGTCAGCTTTATTATATATGTGTGTATATGTATATATCTTAGAATGTTCATAATGCTAAACTAGAAAATGATGGCTCTTGATTTTAAACCCAATAAATGTGATTGAAAATAAAAATATACGTATTGGTAGATTTTTGTAAATAAAAAAAATACACTCCTTTGATTGCCACAACCGTTAAGCTTATGCTTATGATACCACACAAATGCGTCAAAATTATGATGTAGGTGTTGACGATACCTAGTACACTTAGTCCCCTCTACAACAAAAATAATACTAGAAGATTGCAAGGATAGCAAATTCATCAAATTTAACAAATGCTAGTATCAAATGTGCAAAATATTGAGGAAATTTCAATTCAACCATAAAAACCTCACTGAAGGCGTGATTCAGGCAACTTTAGATCTTATCATTGGCAACAATTGTTAGTATTGCCATGCATAGCAATTGAGATTGCTTAGCAACTGCATATTCCGATCATTTCAACAAATACCCTTCGTGTTGCTTCAACATTTACAAGTTTTTGACATGTTAGTCCTGTATTCTTGAAGTAAAAACTGTACATTCTTCTAGTTTCTTCTTCAATCATGAATTTCTCGGGTTCTCAGATCTCTTTGTTCTGCTTCCATTCTTTACACCAACTCATGCCATGTACAATCTCACACTGGGATGAACTGGTTGGAACCCTTTTTTGTGTCTGACTTTTACATAATGAAACTTGATTGAGCTTCATGGGTAGTCTCTGCCACGGTTCTCAAGGCAGACCCCAATGGTTGTTACTGCTAGAAGACCTCCTCTTGAATTCCATTACCAGCTTTGAGAAAGCAGAAGAACTGGTTTTGAGCAACTCAGTTGGCGAATCATACTCAACAACCTTGCCTACATTAATCAAGATCCTAATGTAAGCAATTTGATATTTTCGGTGTTAGTACTACCAAGTCTAAAGGCCTGTTTGGGAAGAACTTAAATAAGTAGCTTTTTTTGCTAAGAAACCCAAAAGCAAATAAGCTTGTTTGGGATGGCTTCTCCATTAATAATAATAATAAAAACTATTTTTTAAATGCATAGTTGTAAGAAGACAACTTTTACTCTCAATACTTTTAGAAATTTCACCATGTGCCTACAAGGACTCCACAATATTATAAGGGTAATATGATAATTTCTCACTAAAAAACAAGTTTGAAAAGATTTTAAAAAGTACCTTTTAAGCAAACACAGCAACTTTTTTAGGCTTTGCTGCTTTGGAAGAACTAAATAAGTAGTTTTTGCTATTACCAAAAAAAAGAAAAAGAAAAAGAAAAAACGAAAAAAAGAAAAGAAGCTTGTTTGGGATGGATTTTCCATTAAAAAAAAAAAAAAAGATTTTTTTTTAGCAATTTTGTGAAAAGATGATTTTACCTTCAATACTTTCAGAAACTCCACCGTGTCTCTAACAAGGGCTCCACAATACAATAGTGAAAAGTATTCAAAAGCCCGAGAAAAGAAAAAAAGACAAAAAAAGAAAAAAGAAAAGCAATTGCCAAACCCCACCTATTACCTAAGTACTTAACTGAGTATACAACCTTAGCAAAGCATGATAGTGAAAATAATTCCAGTAGCCGATCTTAGCTGATTATGATACAAGTCTTAGTTTGGCTTTAGTATTTCCAAATTTATCTTGAAATCTAAATCAAGTTTCATTATAGTTGGGTTTTCTTTGCATAGTTGAAAATATGTTTTCATAAATTTATAAGCCTTACCTTCATCGAGAACCAGAACAAGGTCATTGTCGATGATGGTGGGTATCCGATGGGCCACTGTTATGACCGTGCACCGGCTTGTTTCTTCCCTGATTCTCCATTGAATCACATTGTCTGTTGCTGTGTCTACTGATGCCGTGGCCTCATCCAAGACCAATATTTTCCTCCTCTGTAGCAGCACCCGAGCAAGACACACAAGCTGCCTTTGTCCCATGCTCCAATTTTCTCCATCTTCTGCAACTGCACCACCAATTCAAAGATAATGAAAAATATGTAATATAATACAAATTACATTAAAAGGCTCAATATTTCTTAAATTAAACATCAAAATGTCAATCACGTAACAATTACTATCTAAAGAATGCAAAACTACAATAGAAAATTGTAGTACATATGATATATTTATCTTATAAATATTTCAAAACATATTTAGAGTACACAAATTGTGGTCTAAAGAATGCAAAAACTTTGTTATTATAAAGGGATTCATCACATAGGGCGTGTTCAGAAAAGGTTCAAGAAGTGTTGTTGAAGTGTCGGTAAAGTGTTCGATATTATGAATTTAATTTTTTAATTAAGACACATTTTTAGGAGTGTCCAAAAAGTGTTGGCGCCGGACACGAGTGTCAAATCCTCTGCTAAAGTGTTCATGCTTCTTAATGGACAACTTAGTAGCAGGAAAAGAATGTGTGCTCGCACGCGTTTAGAGGGGTGGATTTTCTCACTTTCCATACCTGGCATATCAAGAAGCCTTTGATCGTGTCTTACAATATCTGCAAGATGACATTTGTCCAGAACCTAGCATGCAAAATTGTTCAAGCGAAAGTTAATCGTGTGCTTCTTAATTTCTTAATCTTTAGGAAAACTTTTTATTTTATTCTTACCTCCCAAAGTTCTTGATCTGAATGCTGTTGTAGAGGATCAAGATTACTTCTCATGGTTCCTTGAAACAGTGTTGGGTCTTGTGGGATTATACTCAACCTAGACCTCAGATCCTGCAATCCGATCTTTGTAATATCTACTCCATCAATCAAAATCTGTCCTTCTGATGGCTCCACAACTCTGAATAGAGCTTGAATTAAAGTAGACTTTCCACTACCCGTTCTTCCAACAACACCGATTTTCTTATTTCCGGGGAAGGTGCAATTGATTCCTTTGAGAACTCTCGGGAGAGCTGGGCTATATTGGACATGAAGGTTTTCCAGATCGATTCTTCCATTGATTGGCCATTCTTGTTCTGGTCTACAATTTTCAATCACCAGTGGAGCTTCACTCGGTATATTGGTGAATTGAAGAATTCGCTCCACTGATATCATTTTGTTTTCGACGTTGCATAGGTTCCATATAACCCAAGCTTGAAGAACATTTAGATTTAAACCATAAGTAGCCACCAGCCCTGCTAAGCCTGTGATCAGACGAGGAGTCTATTAGTTTAGAATCCATATCTAATGTCCCCACAAATATATTTATTTTTTTGTAGTAAATGCCCTATCTGATGTCAAATATGGTGGAGGTGAAGAGAGTACTCTTGTAAGGCTATTTTTGGATGGCAACAATCAAATGGAGGGAGCAAGAATCACATTGCTAGAAATAAAACTCCAGAGTCAATGCTATTCACATGTTTGGTTTGGTTTTGTTAGGAATTCTTGTTCAGTTTGAGATGTGATGCCTCGTGGAGTAGAAAATCAGGAATCACATTCCTATTCTATTATGTTCCAAAAACATTGGAATCATGAGGATTTGGAATCACATTCCCATTTCCCCTCAGGATTCCTACCATCCAAAACATAGCCCAAGCGTGTACTTTCAGGTTTTCAAAACCTTTTATATTCAAAAAACCTCTTATGTCCACTGTCCAAAAACAATTTTCACTAGCATCTTTAGGAATCTCTCGTGACCAAAATGTAACTTATAGTTCCTACTAGCAGACTAGGTCAATAGAGAATTAGAAGAGCAGCTTACTGGGTTCTATGGCTGACCTTGGCAGGTTCACCAAGATGACAAGAACAAGGAAGAAGACAACGTTGAAGAGAAAGTTGATCCGGACACAGAGCCACTCCATTGTGGCAGAATTGTGGAAGGCAACGCGAGAGTAATCATCAACCAGTCCTAAATTTTTCCTGAGAAAACAATCTTCCTGATTGAAGCAACGAATCGTTGCAGCCCCGGTCAGAGATTCTGTCATGAGGATTTGGAATCACATTCCAATTTCCCCTCAGGATTCCTACCATCCAAAACATAGCCCAAGCGTGTACTTTCAGGTTTTCAAAACCTTTTATATTCAAAAAATCTCTTATGTCCACTCTCCAAAAACAATTTTCACTAGCATCTTTAGGAATCTCTCGTGACCAAAATGTAACTTATAGTTCCTACTAGCAGACTAGGTCAATAGAGAATTAGAAGAGCAGCTTACTGGGTTCTATGGCTGACCTTGGCAGGTTCACCAAGATGACAAGAACAAGGAAGAAGACAACGTTGAAGAGAAAGTTGATCCGGACACAGAGCCACTCCATTGTGGCAGAATTGTGGAAGGCAACGCAAGAGTAATCATCAACCAGTCCTAAATTTTTCCTGAGAAAACGATCTTCCTGATTGAAGCAACGAATCGTTGCAGCTCCGGTCAGAGATTCTGAAAAGTGGTGGAGGATTGGAGCTTTCCGAATCCCAACCATCCTTGCTAATTCTCTGGCAGTTGTGATGTAGTAACACTGCAAAAAGTTTTGACTCTTCAGAACTTATAAGAACAAAAAGAAAACACAAAACACAAAACACAAAATAAAATAAAATAAATAAATAAAATTTAAATTGAAGTCGGTTCTTGCCTGGTACCACACTGAGATAGCCAAGATAGCAAGAAAGAGAAAAAAGACCGGCCACGCAATCTGGGAAATAAGGATGATTATACTTAACAACTGAATAAGCGCAAATGCTAATCCAGCCAATCTGTAAGGAATGTCAGTGTCCACGATGCTTTGATCCGTCGAAGACTGTTAAAAGAACAACCAAGTCAATAAATTTCGATGAAATCAAATGTACAACAAACAAAAGCTAATGAAGTAGGATATAACTAAACACTGACCCGGTTGAGAATTCGGCTTGAAGGTGTGGTGTCAAAGAACAATAGCGGTGCCCTGAAAATGGATGTGATCATTCGAAGGAAAAGGCGCTGAGAAGTCTCAATGGCAATGGTTGACAGAAAAACCGCTCTCCCCAATATGAAAATGGAGCTTCCACCAGACATTAAAGCATATATCCCAAGCATCTTCTCTCGGCTTACCATGCTTTTTTCATCAGTTGCCCAAGCAATCCAGTAATTGCTTGCCATCTGTAATATCTGGAAGAGAACCTGGCAGAGAAGGATAACTGGAACGAGAGCTCCTTTATATGCAGAAGTGATAAATGTTGAGTAGACATGCCATTTCACTCGACCAGTTTCTGTTTCTTCTTCGTGTGTTCTCTCCAAAAGATTGATATTTCTAGTGTGTTCTTGAAATTTCTCTTCTGTGACTTCAATTTGATTTTTCTGATGGGTTTTGTTCGTTAAAGATTTGTGATCAGGAGGAGGGTTCACTTGGTTTAGAGATTTACCATGAGCAGCCATTTGTCTAACAAGGTCACCATTAGGATCTGCAATCAAATCTTCATATTTTCCTGACTGAGCAATCCTACCATCTTTCATTACCTATCAGTAAAGAAAAGAGATTAGAAAAAGAAAAAAAGAGAAAAAGAGAAGCAGGCCACAATTGTTGAGACAACTTAGTAACTTACCAGGACAAGATCTGCAGCCTCTAAGAATTCCAGCTGATGTGTTACATAAAGTACTGTCTTCTCAGACAAGAGATGCAGTAGACAAGTCTGCAAATTAAGTTTCAAGTTCTTAATAAATTGATCTAAATGTATAAGAAAAAAATATAAAATCACACATAATTTAAAAATAATTATGATGAAGAGGTGTTGCTTGCCTTGAATAAGTGTGCCCCGGTATGTGCATCAACAGCACTGAAAGGATCATCAAGGAAATAAACATCTGAATCACCATAGATTGCCCTTGCTAATTGTATCCTCTGCTTTTGTCCTCCACTTAAGTTCATTCCTCTCTCTCCCACCACACACAAATCTCCGTCAACCCACATCTCAATATCCTGGTTCAAAGCACATCCTTCCAAAACATCCTCGTACAGGGCCTCGTTCATTTTATTGCCAAACAGCACGTTCTCTCTGACTGTGCCCGTTTGAATCCAAGCCTTCTGTGGAACAAATGCTTTTGATCCATAAACCTTAATACCTGCCCCTGAAATTCGAGGAATCTCACCAAGTATGCTATAGAGTAGGCTTGATTTTCCAGACCCAACCGAGCCACAAATTGCAACCTTGTAACCCTTCATGATTTTCATTTTCTCAGTAATTTTGATGGTAGGTTTATTTGAAGCTGAACTACAAGTTTCCCAAGCATATTCCCCGGTGTCAATTTCAACTGCAACATCACTTGCTTTCGAGGCATGAAACTGTATCGACTTCTTTTGATCTTCTCTAATGAAGTCTTGTATTCGATCAACTGAGACCTTTGTTTGAGCAATCATAGAGATCAACTCCGGGAGATTATAGATGGGCTCTTGTAAAATTCGGAAAGTAGCTAGAGCTGAAAGGACTGTTCCTGATGTCAATGGTGTTTTCAATGCAATGCAAACACCAAAAGTGACAACTGAAACAACAGTAGGCGAAGTCCAGAAGAGAAATGCTATGGCTGAGCACGTATAAAGGTACCTCTTCAGCCAATTTCTCTCATTTTCCCTCAGTTGAAGAAGCCTCTTCAAGAAAGTGGATTCCCAAGAATGCAATTTCAAGACTCTCATGCTCTTCAGAGTCTCCGAAGTTGCTTTTATTCGCGAGTCTTTAGCTTCCATGATCTTGCTATGAAGCCTTTCTTGCATATTGGCCAATGGTGTGTTGCTAACCATCACCACAACTGTTGCTAAGAGAGCAGCAAAAGATGGAGCAGCACCAAGATTTCTATACAGAATGATCAGTGCCAACGTGATCTGAACCGGAAGCAACCAAACACCATGAATGTACCAAAAAAAATCCCCAATCCTCTCGACATCCACAGTGATTAAATTGATGACTCTCCCATTATTCATGCCACCATACTTGATTGACAAAGACTTGTTGTATATCAATACCATGAGAGCTGCTCGAACTCTGATACCAATGCGTTGTGCGCCAAAGTACCATTGTCTCTGAGACAGTGATTCCACTGTCTTCGAGAAGAAGAAGATGAATGCAAGAATCAAACCTTGGTGGATGCTTGAATTCTCATGCTTTGCCGATAAAAAGTTCACAAAGTTCGTGATCAATAATGGACCCGTGTAGGAAGCAATTGTATTAAGTCCTGTAAAAAGTCCAACAAAATATGTAAAATCTATTAACCAGAAACTAAAAAATGAGACAAGATACAGAAACAAGAGGTACCTACCTGCTAAACCACCATTTATAGCCAGGGGTCTCCAGACAGCATGGAGTAAAGCTTTTGGCAATGAAATCGTTTTGGTCTGCTGTTTTCTAAGTGATTCTTCTAACAAAGAAGACGCGAAAAAAGATGTTTCCGATTGAGGAATGGAAGGTATGTGGGGGAATTCAAGTTTCTGTTTTTGACCTTTTTCAAAGAGTGGATTAAGCCACAGAAATGTAAGTTGGCTCCAAAATCCGGCATTGGAAAAGGCATCGTCGCCACATTTTCTGATATTTTCTTCCTCTTCTTGAAGCAATGGATGTTGAATGTCATTGTTTTTTTCACTACCCTTAATGGGCAGAGCATTGAAACAGAGAAGAATCAACAATGGGACGGACGCAAAATCAACAATGGTGGCTTTAGGCAACAAAATTGGCACTTTTAAGGATGTGAAATGGGTAATGAGGTACATAGACACCAGAAGCAAATCATTAATGGTGGAGAAGACCCACCAAATAATGAGAACTATGGGCCACTTTTTGTATTCTCTAAAAACAATTTTGTTCTCTGAGTAGACTGAAATTACACTGGCTAACACCCAATTCAAAGATGAGAAAGCAACTACAACAGAGATGGTTCTAGAATTCCAAAACTCATAAGAACAAAAACCCACATAGAAAATGGAGATTAGGACATTGGAAAAAATAGTAATCTTGGCAAAAACTGTGGATTTTCTTCTTGTGTACTGTTCATCACCACCTTGTCTCCTTTGTTTCAAAATATCTACCAAAACCCATATCACCAAAAGCAGGAAAAATCCCACATTGACAAGATTTAAAGTGATGCCCATTGAATAATTTTTTTTTTTTTTAAAAACCCTAGTTCAACACAGTTCTCACCCTATCAGAAACTTGAAAGAACACAGAGAGAGAGAGAGAGAGATCCACTCAGTAGAAAGACCTGTTAGAAAGTTTGAAACACAACCCATTAATGTCTTCCAAGTTCCCAGTACAAACAAAGAAATACCCAGTTCAGAAAACATAATAAAATTCCCAAATACAACATATAAATCAGGAAAATAGATAAAATTGACAAAGAATTAGTTTTGTAAGCAGACCTGCGAAAGTAAGAAGAAAGCACGTGGCTGTTCAAAGGTGGTGACGATATAGATAAATAGGGATCCGAGGAGTTTTACACATAAGATTGGTTTGGTCACTCATAAATTCTCTATATATAAATAATAACACTAACATTCACATCTTAAGAATCTTTATATTCAATCACTGTATCTCAAATATTCTACTGCATACCATACAAGAGAAAGTTATCAAATATTACGGGACCAGTCTCTGCAATTTATGGATTATAATCTTTGACCCTCTCTCTCTTTCAAGGAATCTCCATGATTTCAGGCTGTCAATTTTGGAAATTTTTTTTTTTTTTGGGGTAGGTTAATGAGAATGTCTCCATGCATGTCTTCATTGCTAGGACAGATTTTCTTGAGAAAGAAATGAGTAGATATCATGATTCATGTATAAGTTTTTGGTGTTGTTTGGTTCAATTAATATATGGTGTTTTTATTTATTTTTTATTTTGAAAGTATGTGTGTATTGTTTTGTTTAAAAAAAAAAAAATTGATTATTAGAAGATGCCAGATAAATACTTTGACTTTTACTATTTAATTATCAAACTTTATTTACCCAATTTTTTTTTTATTCATCCAAAAAAATTATCAAACTTTCAATTAATAAAAAGTTATATCTATCATACCAAATAAGCCGTTTGTTGAATACTATTCCATGGTGGAATTTGGAATTATCATTATTATTATTTTTCATTTTTGCTTCCTCTCAACTTTAAAAATAGGGTTGCAGTATATTGGTTCCGATATTTCATTTAAATTCTTTCCCTTTTTTGTGACTATTTGACCATGTTTAGACTTATTTGGTTCAGTTTATAACTTTTTCCTATTTTAGAATTATATTTATATTTGATATAACTTCTGCTTATAGTTTGTCAAAAAAAAAAAAAAAACTTATTTCACTTTTCATTATCAATTTTCAACAAAATAAGTATGTTGTATGTTTTGTTACGTTATGATGAATTTATAATGTACATGAAACATTTATTATTCATAATTAGATTGTCTTTTAATTTTAAATTTGTATGGTATAAATAAAAAAGGCAAAAAATTGAATGAAATAAAAATTATAATTATTTTTATCATAAATTTCATATTTTTATTTCTTGTACAAAATTTTGTCACAAATCAAATATCCAACTACAATAATAACTGATAATTAAAATGATGAAATACATGGCACGTGTCACTTTTCTTGTAAAAGAAAAATTACTCATAAATCTCATTTGGGAAAATGTTAGTCCATTTAGTCTTACATATTTTTTTATAAACCAAATAGTCCTTTTTATTTTTAGTATGTATTATTGATTTGATTTATTTGAGTTTACTTATTTGCCCCTTATTGTGATTATGTTTTTGATGTTTTTTTGGGATTGAGTGTATGTTGATAAGGTATGATTTAACATTTCTATTCTTTTAGAGATTTTGTGGAGTAATTGTGGGGATTATTGATGTCACATACTTAGTGTTACATTATTGATGTTAAATCATTTGCATTTTCCTGGAGAGGTGTGTGGGTTGTAACGCTCACATTTACTTACATAATATTAGCCTAGAACCACATGTCGTACCATTAAGCCTCTCACTAATAACCTATAACATTAGCATCAAACACCAACCACATAAGATAACATCGATACAATCTGACAATTCCCAACAATTAACAGCCCTACCTCCTACTACCACCAAACCCACCAATACTTTCAGGAATACATCCACCCACTGGCCCCCAACATTACAAAATACACACCTAATCATACAAACATCAGCTATAACACCATGCGTCTATTACATTACATACATGCACAACATCACATTTACAATCACTAATAATCCCCAAACCTGTGAAAATATTACAACATTAACTAACTGTTGTTCAAATTGTAAAATTAAATAAATAGATTCACGAATAAATTAAAAAAAATACCAAGAACACATGCTGAGAATTACAACAGAAATACACAATACAATAAAATAGTAAAGAAAGCAAACCGAAGCCTGCACGGTAGCAGTTTCCTTAAAACAGATTTTGCCGCCTCACGGGTCAAGTGCTTGAGGAATTCCGGCGTCTATCTCCCAGGATACGACGGCCAAAAATCAACTACGGCAGAAGCACTTTTTGTCTAACTTAGCAAATAAAACCAAGGCAGCACTCACTCACTATAGGAACTTTCTAGCAAACTGACTAAAGAATGGAAAAAACAATTTCTATGTTTGAGATTTGACAGGAGGGTCTCAATTTATACATGTATAGGGGAGAGAGGAGAAGCCTCCAGCCTCTATGGTTGGTCACTAATGCACCATTAACCTCTGCAATAAAGGTAGGAGTTACAAACCCCATTAATGCATTATTAAACTCTGCAATAAAGACAGAAGTTACAAACCACATTAACTCTTTCATGAAGCTAACTTCATGGGGCAATTTCTCATTCAATTCTCAATGGTTTTTGGCCATTCTATTTGTAGTGTAAAGATCTCATTACAAAGTATCTAGACCCACTTGAACCCAACACAGTAGACGGTTGAGACCCACTTTAATATTTAATTAAAGTCACCAAAAAATCATTTTTTTTCCAACACTAAGAAAACCATGTGTTTGTCACATTACAAACATGCACAACATCACATTTGAAATCAATAGTAAATCCCAAACCTGCGACGTGAACAAGATCACCTAAAACTCCACATGACGCACCAATTAAACAAAAATCCATTTCGAGTATCGACCTTGATGTCGTATTGTTTCACAAACAACCAAACTAACATCGACGACACCCATACCTGTTGTCATCGCACTAACACACGATCAACGATTCCGTCGACGGATTAAGTTTAAATCGCCGACATTACGTTCTCAATGTTAATCGCACTCCAAGATGTCCTAGTGTCCACGCCGCTTTGCCTTTGTAAATTTGATAGAAGGGATTCCCATAATTTTCTAGGGTTTTTTTTTGGGGTTTTGTAATGTTATTTGGGGAATAACAAATTCTGGATATAATGTTCCCAAATCCAGTGTTCAACTCACACAAACTAAGGATCAACACTGCAACATCATCAAGGAAACATTGACGTTTCCATTTTTGAGGTTCCGTTTTTTTTGCAATGGAGAGAAAAGAAAAAAAATGCTATAGTATACTTTTGGGTTTTTTGGTAATTACAACATCGCCTAAACACCTAATATACCCCCTTCAAACAGCCAATCCATGCGTTACATTCGTGGGCTCAAGTGTAATTAACATTGACATAGGACCAATCAGTTTACAAAATAAATTGCAGGACTAAATGGTTCACGTGGGGAAATATTTTCTGAGTACCAACACGTGCAAGGTGACGCCGACGTGTCAGCCGAGGTGCCACGTGTCTTGGTCATTGTGCCGAGGTCATCTCGGCTAGGCCGAGGTTGCCTCCGAAGATATCGGAATCTGAGATAAGCGGATAAGGGACAAGAGTCCTAGAATGAAGAGGGAACTCAACTTGGATATGGACAAGAGTCTTAGATTGGGAGAAGACTTCAGTTTGGGTAAAGATAAGACTCTTAGAGAGTTTATCCTAATCCCACTGGAAGTCCCAGATTAGCAGTAATCCTAAGTCCATTAGGGCCAGGCTCCTATTGGGACTAGCATTGTATTGGCTATAAAAGAGAGGCACCCCCATGGGTCTGAGGTATGCTTTTGATACTCAAGCTTATGAGTTTAGTATTTGATTTATCTTTGAGAGATATACTGACTTGATCGTCGGAGTGCCCCCGGGTGGTCGAAACCACCGCGGGATTCTTATATTTCTGTTGCAGGTCAGTCAGGTGCCATCTATTCTGCCAGTGCTCTCCAGCTGGTTACTAAGCGGGCAGTGTGGTCGGAAAATCACCCACACAATTTGGCGTCGTCTGTGGGAAAGAAAGAAGAATAGATGGCCAATGACGGACAGAAGGATCAGACTGGAGACAACGCTCTTGTTGGGAATAGGAGATCTATCAATCTCGACGTTGAAGGGGACAATAGCAACACAGAAACTCATGACCAGAGTCACGGAGTGAAAGAAGCCGGTCAGGAAGGTGACGCACCAAAGACGACAGATCGAAGCAACGGAGATGACCTCCAGGTATGAAAGGATAGATACCTGCGGAGGAACGAAGACCCTTCCAGAAGGGATGCAAAGACAGGGGCATGAGCGCTCCTAAGGAAACAACATTCAAGTATAGAAGAACTCATCCTGAGTGAGCAGATCTCAGATTCCAGATCCTGGATCACGGATCCGAGAAGACATGATCTCAGCTAGACAAGTAGGCCCGAGAAGATGAGAGCTCAACCGAAGTGAGCAAGATAAGATCTCAGCACCTGAATCTGAGAAGAGAAGAGCACAATGAGCAGATCTCAGATCCCAGAAGATAAAAAGAAAAACAAACAAGATCAGACTAAAGTTGGCCAGAATTGAGAAGTATGCTAGGGCCAAGGAGGATATGCCGGGAACAAAGGCATCGGAACAAGAAAAGAGAAACGGCTCGCCGATGCGAGGCCGAAAATCAAACTCAGGTTGGAGCCAAGTAAGATCAATAGAGAAACCAAGGCCGACAACCTCGGCTTGAATTCGACCTCGGCGACAAGGTCGAAGCTACATGTATGATGAGAATCCAAGTGGATTTTAAGTTCACACTGGGGGCGCAGAGAAGAAGAATGCGTTTACCGCTTGTTGAAATTTGTGGACAATTTACAAGTTGGTTAAACAAAGATAATGCTTAACCGATGTTAAGCTGAAGATGATGTTTAACCGAAGTTAAACCAAGATGATGCTTAACCGAAGTTAAGCCGAAGATGATGTTTAACCGAAGTTAAGCCGAAGATGATGTTTAACCGAAGTCAAGCCGAGATAATGCTTAACCGAAGTTAAGCCGAAGATGATGTTTAACCGAAGTTAAACCGATATGATGCTTAACTGAAGTTAAGCCGAATATGATGTTTAACCGAAGTTAAACCGAGATGATGCTTAACCGAAGTTAAGCCGAAGATGATGTTTAACTAAAGTTAAACTGAGATGGTTCTTTATCTTCACTTGTTGAAATTTGTAGCAATTTACAAGTTGAAGTTAAGCTGAGATTATTCCTTATCTTCACTTGTTGAAATTTGTAGCAATTTACAAGTTGAAGTTAAGCCGAGATTACTGTTTCTCTTCACTTGTTGAAATTTGTAGCAATTTACAAGTCAAAATGAAACCAAGGTTATAGTTTGCACACTTATAGCAATCTACAGGTTGGTCCAACCAAAGAAGATGCTTAACACTTGTTGAAATTTGTAGCAATTTACAAGTCAAAATGAAACCAAGGTTATAGTTTGCACACTTATAGCAATCTACAGGTTGGTCCAACCA